GCCAGGAGCAGGAGGCAGAGCTAAAGCCCAAGGTCAAGGGGCTTTTACCCAGCCCCTAGAGCCTGGCACTTTGAACTAGGACTTCTAGCCTCCAAAACTGTAAGAATAAACTCCTGTTTGTTCAAGCCACCCATTTGTAGTATATTCCTGTTAGTGGCACTAGGTAACTGTAGCGTGATAAATTACTTAATGTGGCTTTTCTACCCATAAGTCTTTGTAGACTCCGAGGTGGAATTTGCCATGAGCAACTGAGGAGCTCCTGATTGCTAAAGTTGTCCACCTGGGATATTTCTGTTGGGAGTGGCACAAAACAATGTTCTGGGAGGTTCCCGCTCTCTGTCAGGTGTTTAGAATTCTGATGTTATGATTGGTTGGTTTGGCCATTCTTCCAGGCTCAAAAGGAGGCCTCTTAGGGGCAGAACTCTCACTCTCAGACTGCTGGTTGAGGAAGACTTGCTGCTGAAAGAGACAGTCACTCCTGAGGGACACGTGCTGCTGGGAAAGAGACGCAAGAGACAAGCATTGCAGAGTGAGACACCGAGGGACTCGCACTTCTGGGAGAGAGACTGTGAGAGACCTGGCTGAGAGACAGTGGGTTGGGAGAGAGACTGAGCATTTTTCCTGAACTTGAATTGTAGCCTGGTGCTTCCCTAATAAACCCTATAATCTGCGAGCTCTGTGTGGCCACTGCAGTGAATTATCGAACCCAGGAGAGAGGTGGTGGATGTTTTGGGAGGAATGGTTGGTGAAAGGGCTGGAGGCAGGCGGCATGTCTGGCCTCGTAGTAATGGGCCTTGGGCTATTGATGGTGATTTTGTCTTTCTCTTGTGTGGTTAGAGGAGGTCAGAAGATGTGGCCTCCTTGCCCTTTTTTTTTTAAATTTTATTTTGATTTGGGTGAAGATTTACAGAGTAAATTCACTTTTCATACAGCAGTTCACATAATATACTTTGTCTCATGTCATTGACCAAAATTTACAATGCAACAGCTCCCCTCCCACTTCCTCCCCATAGTTACCTCTTCCCAGTGTCCATCCTTCCATACTCTTCTGCACCCTGAGCTGTCTCCCTGTGTATAAGCAGCCCTTCCTTCTCCCATGATTGTTCTCTCCAGGGCGTGTGTCTACTTGAGGTAAATGTTTAATTCACATGCCTGTACTTTGTTTGGCTGGAAACCACAGGTGTGGCTTCAATTCCAGACCTGCAGGGCAGCTAGGGGCCATAGTCTCAGTGGTTCCACCAGGTTCTATTGGACCAGCAAACCTGGTCCCCACCTTCTTCTTTTTTTTTTTTGCCTCCAAATGATTTTGAGTTTTGTTCCACATTGTTCTCCCTCTCTATGCAGGATCTCCTACATCCCTTTCAAGTGGATGACAGTGGTAGCCAGGCACCATCTAGTTTTTCTGGTCTCATAGTTGTATAGGCTGCAGATCGGATGGTGTACCAGTTGCTAGGACTAATTGTTTCCATGATTTTTTGGTTTTCTTCATTCTTTTTGCTCTGGATGAGGAGAGACCCATTGTTGCATCTAGATGGCAGGGCTTGCTAGCTTTTAAGATCCCAGTCGCTACTCGCCAAAGTAGGAGGTCTCCTTGCCCTTTTTGCAGTAACCAAAACAGTATCTCAAAGAAAACCCAATCCAAACTGGACTAAGGAAAAAGGGACTTTATTGGCTCAGATAATTGGAAATCACAGGCAATAATCTCAGACAAGACTAGATCCAGGAGCATGATGTCTCTAGGACCTGGTCTCTGTCTCTTTTTGTGGGCTAGCTTCATTTTTAGGGAAGTCTCTCTCAGCAGCCACAGGAAAAGTCTCAGTTGGTTTCTTTGGTCCAAATGGATGGTCCAGGGATGGAGTCAGCTCTATCAAAGCTTGTCAACTGAGAGGAGGGGAAGAAGGGTCATTCTCCTAAAGAAAAACTATCTGAACTGATCTATTCCCACAAATCCCCATTTCCTACCCACCAGGAACCAGGGGCCTCCTCAGGGACCCACTCTTGCTGGGTCAAGCTCAATGGAGATGGTCATTTAAAGGACCCAGGGAAACCCAAGTTCAGAAAGAACAGAGACAACTCATGGGTCAGAAAGGGGTCTGTAGCCACCCTCTCCATGAGCTATTCCCTTCTCTGCTCTGCAATGGCTTCTTTGATTTCTCAAGACCCAACACGACCATCAGACCCAGGTCTATCTGAGAGGCTCAAGGACTCCAAGTAGTGTCAGGTTACTCAGTAAGCTAGGAAAACATGGGCTTACTTGTACTTATTTACTAATCTGTAGTAACAACATCACATTTTTTTTTTTTGCTACATCAAAGATTCTGCTTTCAGATATGGCTGGCATCTATCTCTCTCCAACCCCTCAGCACCTTCCTACAGAATCAAAGCCTCTTTTCAAATTTACAATCCCTGACAGGATGGAGTACCCAGTAAATAAGGTAGTTACGAGTTTACTTATGCTTACTTACTAATCTGTAGTGAACACTTTCACATGGGTCTAGTTAGTAAGTAAGCACAAGTAAGCCTCTGTTTACCTTGCTTATTGGGTAGTCCACCCTGGCTCCAAGACCCTCTGTCTAACTTGGGCTCTGGGTTTTTTTGTTCTTAAATTTTGGTAGAAATATATACAGCAGAGTATATACCCATTCATCAGTTCCTACACATACATTTCAATAACTGGTTACATCCTTCAGGTTGTGTCCCTGTTCTCACCATCTCTACCCACATACTTTCACCATCATTGATGTTTAGGGTATGAGTACTCCTAAACTTTTCATCTATGCTTCAGAGTTACTGTTGAAAATTTGATCTCATATGGATAATGCTTTAAAGGAGCACACTGCACATGTTGAACATTCTTTACTAATTTAGCTAAGTTGTTTAGTTGAAAGATGACTTCAGGGGATAATTTCAGTTCATGGTCTGAAGAATTTCACAGAGGGATAGATTTGGAGGTTGCTCTAATTTCAACGGGTCCACTAAGTCTGAATTTTTTAAGAATTTAAAACTCTGTTCCACATTTCCCCCCCTTTTCATTAGGATTCATCTATTGACTCCTTGATCAAAATGTTCAGTAATGGTAGCTGAGCACCATCCAGTTCTTCTGGTCTCATAGCTAAGGAGGATGTAGTTCTTGGAGGCAGTTATACTTGCAGTCCAATTCCTTCTCTGATTGCTGGATCTCCTTCTTCCTCTGCTCCAGGCAAATAGAAAGCAATCGTTGTATCATGAATGGCTGTATTACTCATCCAACTAGGGAATGGAAGAGTTACTTTATAAACAGTATTAAGGCAATTGACTGGACAGCCTCACAAGCCTCCGGGTTTTTTAGTTTAAATTTGCAAGAGAGAAACTGATTGGCTGGGCTTAGGTCAGGTGCCCATCCTCAGTTCAATCAGTTGTGAGGGGTGGGGCTGAAGGGGATGGTGGTTATCACCTGATGGAAAAGAAGTGCCTTCACCTAGCTCCACCAGAGGGCTGCGGTGGGAGGAGTCAGTGAGTCACAATTCTAGTAAAGTAGAGGTTCCAACACCAGAGCCTGTGCTCCTAGCCTGTGTGAGCCAGGCCACCTGGTCCTGTGCTGCCTCTCTGAGGTTGTTTCCTCCCAAACGCTGCCTGACTGCATTAGGTGGGTGACTCAGCGACTTTCTCTGGCAGTGAACTGGGTCCTTTGTGTGAGCCCTGTTTGCAATCCCTGGGCTGCCCTTTATGAGTCTCTTCTTCCTCAACAACCTGCCACTTCTAACCCGAGTTGCCAGATGCCACTTTTCCATTGAATCTGCTGACCACCCCAGTTGCCTACTCCTTCAGCTTGTGCCACAGTTAGCTATGAGCAAGTGTCCGGATTCTGTAACCCAACACCTCCAGCCTTCGGGGACGTTTGTTGGCCATCCAGGGTGAATTAAATCTCGAAGCCTGCTTCGGGTGGGTCTCCAATGGGATGCTGTGGCACCCATTGGAGATCGAGAGTGGCAGCTTGAGTCACCTTGCATTTACAGCCTATCGAGGACCATACACATGAACCAAGCTCCGCCGTGGCGGCCAGGAGGTGGGTGCACGCGGGTTCCGGGTAGTGCGCTCGACTGGCCGGCCTGAATCACCGGTTACTTTGGCACATACCCAGCTGGAAATGTCCTTGCAAAACGCAACTTTTTTCACTTCTCGAAAGATGGCTGCTAGTAGCTTTGCTACAGGGAAAAATTACTAATTTACAGTGCAAATTTGGCACACAGGGGCGTTTTCTCCTTCCAGCGCAAGGCTCTGCCAGCTAGGCGCCGTGTGCCTGCGAGACCCAGTCGCCGGAAACATTGTGTCGGGAGCTCAGAAGAGCAACAGTCCCAGCTGCTACTCTGTATCCTCGGCACCTCTGGCTCCTAGTCCCCCAGTTCTGTCTAGAACTATCTTCAGTGGCTCAGAGGCTGCTGTAATACCCCTTTGGCTTCGGTGGGGGACCTGGGAGCCACCTCACCCGACCAGGTTAGGCCCTGCTTCAGCACCATCACCCACATCAACGAGGGTGGGGGGGGGTCTCACAGCCCCGAGGTCGAGCAAGTGACTCAGCTGCTTGCAAGTCTTATATTCTTTCCAGCTAACCGGAAGACCGCCCCCCGCCCCCGTCCGAATGCTTCAACCGGACCGAGGTGTCCAGAAATGACGGGCCTGCGCGGGCGGCTGCCACGCGTGTCCCTGCGCACGCACTCATGGCGCGCACGTCAGTCCCACCTCTTGCCATCGCCCAGTGCTTGGGCGCACGCAGGCACTCCATCGTACAGGCACACGCCCGCGAGCACAAGAGGCCGCTTCGGCCCCTGCGGAGCCCAAGAGGGTAAGTGCACTTCTCACAAACGCGAAAGGAACCCAAGCAGCTCCCTAGGCGGTGTCCGGGGCGGGAGCTGGGCGGAGCTCGCCAGGCTGGGCGCGCAGGGCAGGGGCGGGTCCGCGCCGTCGCTGTCGCTGTCCGTGCCGCCCCGCCCTCGGCCCCGCTGCTCCGGATTCCTCTGCGCCGCAGCCCCCGCCGTAGCCACCTCTTTACCCGCTGCTACCCCCTCTGAGGTAGGCGCAGGGGAAAAGGGCCGAGTCTTTGCTTGCTCCGGGTGCTTCGGTCCGGGCCCTTGGGGAGTTGAGAGGGAGGAGACGGGAAGAGGAGCGGGCAAGAGGCCCAGGAGCCTGACCGGAGGGAGGGAGCGGGAGTGGCCCGCTCAGGCCTGGCTGGTCAGCGGCGGGTGTAGCAGGCCGCGCGGGCGGGAGCCAAGCAGTTCTGGGCAGGGAGCGGGAGGCCGGAGATCCAGAGGCTTCTAAGGCTGGGGGCGAAACTTGCTCGGACATGCGGCCGAAAGGGCAAGGGCAGCGCATGGAGGCTCAGCCAGCCATGAGTCTAGGTGACCTTTCTTGGCGGCGCCCTCTGGCCCTAGATTCTGCTAGCGCGGGTCAGGCAGGGGCCCGCCAGCCACCGCCCACGCTCCTGGGCCAGACCTGCAGCCCTGTGCGGGCCACTCTGCCGCTGCGCGGATGAGCCGCAGGTGTCGACCTCGGCCCCGCGCCCTGCTTGCCGGGTCTTGTCCATGCCCGAGGGAGCTGGAGCCCGGCACCACACGCGTGTGCCCGCGCCACCCTGGGCGGAATGAGCGGCCGACAGTCGATTTAGTCGGTTTAAGCCTCCGAACAGGAGGCTCTGCGGGGAGCGATGTGGCCACCAAGTCCTTAGAAGGGATTCCTGGTTCAGTCATTCATTCATTCACTAAATGCGACTTGCATACAAGGAAGTAGCGGCTCTTTTGAATTTGAGGCCCGCAGCCTAAGTGACTTGTCCAAGGTCACACAACTGGGAAGAAACCAATCCTCAGTTCTCTCATCTGTAAAGTGGGAGCAAGTATACCTCTCCTTTTTGGGGATTTTTGGGAAGGATAAAATGAGATGATTAATGTGTAAAGCCTTCAGAACATTGTCTGGCTCTGAGAAGACCTCGGTAAAAACCATGACGCTTAACTAGTTTCAGGCTTTTGGGGAAGATCAAGAACACTTTCCTCCTTGTGGTGGTCTCCAAATGGCACAGTAAGCGTAGCCCCAGTTACTTGAAACATTATTATCAATGTATTATTAATTACGTTTTGTGTGTCAAGCATTGAGTAACTTTCAGGATAATTCACAAAAAAATCCTGTAATTTTACAGATTGACAAGGTCAGGCTGGGGCAGGAAGTTTGAATGCAGGGACAGACTAGGCTGCATCCCATCACCCATCTCCTTGACAAGCCTCCCCTCTCCAAAGAGGATAGGGAAAGGGGCTCCTCTTCAGCCAGTACTATGCTGTTCCCCAGGCCAGGGGTACCTGTCCTCAGCTTTCTTTTCTAGGCTTTGATCCTCTGCAGCTTTCTCCTTGGGGCTTCAGTGGCACCTGCCACACAGTAGGGCTCGAGAAGGATCTGTGAGCGTAAATGTACTGTCACTTTTTATCCAAGCATTGACTCACCCTTATTGATAGAAGGATAGTTTTATTATTCAAGTATCTGGCACATAGTAGGTGCTTATGAAGTAATTTGTGGAATGATTGAATGGGCATATGCCAAATCCTAGACATCCTTTTTTGAGAGACACACATCTTAATCACTTACAGAAAACGACCTCACCTAGCAGAATCTCAACTATTTAAAGATCGACATTGGTATGTACAGCCTTGGAGCACTGAGAGGCAAAAATTATAGTGGAATCTGTAAGAGCCAGAACTTGACAGCACTGCTTTGTTCTGAGTCTCCCAGGTTTTCCCCCTTTGACAGGGTAGTCTTGCCACTTGTTTTAGTGGAGAATACTTGAGTTTGCTTTCTCTGACAGGTTTCTGCCTTACATAGGTTTTGGCTTTCATAGGTTTTACTGTATTTCCTATTTTGAAATAACTGCTTTAAATACCTTATCTTCATTCTGTGACTGTCCAAGTCCTATGGGAAACTTGTTGAACTGGTGTTTCTGGGCTTGAGAGGAGGGTGACATGGGCCAATTGGGATTCTCCCGAAGGCCTTTGACTGGCAGTCCTCCCTCCCTGGTGGTGGTGAATGGGTTGATGGCTTCTGCTAACGTTGTCCTGAGTGAAGCTTGTGCCCGACCCCACTGGGAGAGAGGGAGCTCCTCTCAGTTGATTACTTAGTTTCATCTTTGTACTTCTAGAATGGGGGCTAGGGTGGGGGGCCATTTGTAGACATATTTTACAGATGAGGAAGCTGCGGCTCAGGGACTCAGGGGGACCATGTGGTGAGGAGGTGCCTGTGGGCCTCTGACGCTGCTGGACACTAGGCAGATGTGGATGAGGAGTTCCAAGCTAGTGGTTGTAAGTACACTTAACCTTTATTCATTCTGCAGAGGCACTGAAGTCCATTTTACCCTTGTGGAATTTTCAGTGGTGTAATGAGTCAGAATCGACTCGATGAGAGCTAAGAAAAGCATCTTTGGTGGAAATGACTGGAAGGGAAATATGTGTACTAAGAGCCTTCCACAACCCAAATCTGCAGGCAGCCCTTCAGGGTGCCCAGAGAGTCTGTAATCCACGGCCTTTGGTTCTCTCAGACTCCTATGGTAGTTGCCAAAGGAAGGTAACCAGTGAGATATTGGGTCTGGCATATTCTCCCATTTTACTGCTTACTTGCAGGGGATGTGATGAGAGGTGAGTGGGAGTCTAAGCCTTTTACCTAGAACAGGGCTGTAAGGAGACCTGGAGAGCAGATCACAACACAGCTCTGACATGAGTCATGGGGTCTAGCAGAGGTCAGGCTACTTTCTTACACATTGGTTTTTTCACTGTGAAAGTGTGTTCATCATTATCTTAGTAATTCTTTATTGAGGACCTGATCAGCATCCTCCTGGGAGCTTGGCATGTATTCTCTGATGTTGAATCCACTGCCCTACAAGCTTTGGGAGAGAGGTACAATTTGTCTCCATTTCATGGGTCAGGAGACTTCAGCACAGAGAGGTGTAGTAATGACCCCCAGGTCCCACAGCTCAGCAGAAGTGGAGTTGGGATTCAAAGACTGATCTGGCTAGCTCCAATGGAGTTCTCACACTGCAGTTGACATTCCACCAGGCTGTTACAAGGAGCTAATGGATGTGACAGTCCTTTGAAAACTAGAAATTACTGTTCAGATGTTATTTTTTCACATGGGTTGGTGTGAGTGTGTGCATGGCTGGGTGTAAGCCAGTGAGCCGTGGTCAGTGGAGTCACCCCTGTTAGTTGCAAGGACAGTGCTGCTGGGTGGCCGCAGGGCAGAGGGTCAGTTTTCCCTGAAATGGGGGAGGAGGCATTCTTCCAGGACCTGGCAGGACAATATTCAACTAAACAATACCTCTTTATGACCAGGAATGACCCTGGACCCTGTGGTGTGGAGGGTAACCTTTGGGATCTGTACAGCCACCATTATACTCAGAAATACATAAAATGAGAAGCTGTAATAAAATACTAGCTGTGTTTATTGTACATTTACTGTGTACCAGCCACTGTACTAAGTGCTTTATATAGACACTCTAATTTATCCTCACAATGATGCTTAGCCAGGTGCACCTCTGCCATATTAGAGCCATCCGCCCCCCCCAAAAAAAAAATGTGTGCAGAGAGGGTGTGACTTGCCCAAGGTCACACAGCTAGAAAGTAGTGGGGGTAGATGTGAACTCAGGTCTGCTCTCCTCCCCGGCTGACCTGCCCAAGCTCTGTGTACTTTATTTCCACTCTGGTCAAGCCAGACCATGAGGCTCCACGGAACTTGAGGTAATCCGAGGTCAGGTAAGAGCTCCTGGGTGTGCTTGGGACCCAGACCCAGGTGTGCTGTCCGCAAGCTCAGGCCCTTTCCTTGAGTGTGGGTGAGAGACTACCCCTAAGTCAGCTACATTCTCTTGAGTGTCATGGAAGGCGGTGCTGGCTGTGTCCCAACTTGTAGCGTGTTTTAAAATAGAAGCAACGCCTGGAAAGCCCGGCTGCCCAATAAGAGCCTGTGGTGGGGGAGGGGGAGGAGTGGCAGACAGCTGCATTGGGAACACACATCTGCTACAGAGCACAGGGCTACAGGCTTTGCCTTTGCACAGGGCTGTCTCTTCCTGCCTTGTGGGTGATGGAGAAGTGCTGAGTAGAGTGTGGGGAGGTTCCTGACTGCCTTGGTTATTGTGCTGGGGTGGGGTAGGGAGGTAGGGTTCAGATTGGCTTTCAGAGATAGGCTTGCCTCCTGCTGGAAAATTCCTTTTCTTGAGCCCTGGGTTTGAAGTTAAGGGGAAGTGTTTTTTGCTCTAATCCCTGGCTTGTTCTGCTACAGGAAAGCCCAGTTCTGTCCTGGAAAACCACTTGTATGGTGTTGGAGAAACAACAGAGCTAAAGGGTTTCCCACATGTCTCCCTTCCTGAGGGGAAGCCTGGGAGGATGATTGTTGTGTTGACTTGAGTCCTTCTAAGAATCATATGTACACTTGCATGGGGTGATCCAGTACAGTTTAGTGAAGGGACCTTTTGCCAAGGTGTGGGCAGGGTGTAAGGCACTCAGCAAGGGCTGTAGCACCCAGTGTGTTAACATCCTTAGGCCTATGGGGGAGGGGAGGTGTGGTTAGGGAGTCCAGGACAGAGCTGGAGCGAAGGAGGGGGCCTCCTGGCAGGAGCTGTAGCCTTGAGTAAGCAAAATTGTCACTACCCATCTGAGGCCCAGCAGGGAGGGAGCCTGGGGGATGACTACCCTGCCCTTACTCTCCCTTCCACCCATCTTTTGCCAGGGCCTCCTGGTGGCCAAACCCAACCCGGAAGCCCATTGACAACAGTCCATAGTTATTAACTCATGGGGCACAGAGCAGGATGGAGATGGGAGGAGAGTGTATGCAGAGGGGCAGACAAAGAATATCCAGCTTGATGTGACCACTTAGCATGTGCCAGACACTGCTAACTGTTTAACTTAATCCTTGCAACATCTCCATTAGAAGGGTACCAGTGTTAACCCTGTTGTACAGATGAGGAAAATGAGACTTAGAGTTTATATTGCCCAGGGTCACACAGCCAAGAGCCAAGCTAGCTAGGACTCCTGCTAGGCTCATAGCTCCTT